CCTCCCATTCTCTGGATCATTCAGCTAAAGTTGGAAGGGACTCTCAGGGATTATTTAGGAGTCAAACTTCCTCATTTTACAAATGAGGAAAATGAGGGCTCAGAAGGTTAAGAGACTTGTCCAAGGTGACACAGGTAATACACACTGGAGATGGAATTGGAACCCAGGTCCTCTTCCTCCAGATCCAGTGTTCTTTTTGCTGTACCACGTGGTCTCGCTCTGACAGATTAAGAAATATTATATGAATATTGGATATACATCTCGATATTTCCTTTCTCTTCTACTAATTTCCAAATATCGCTCAGCAGGCATTTCATACAAGCTGCACAGCTGGCTCAGAGACACAGAAATCTCCCCCAGTGGGACTGAGGAATCACTTGCCCGTGGTTGTTGTTGTTTACTTGTTGTCAGTTGTGTCCGATTCTTTGTGACCCCATTTGGGATTTTCTTGGTTGCCATTTCCTTTTTCAGCTCATTTTACAGATGAGGAAACTGAGGCAAACAAGGTAAAATGACTTGCCCAAGGTCACACAGCTAGTAAGTGTCTCAGGCTGCATTTGAACTCAGAAAGAGGAGTCTTCCTGACTCCAGGGCTAGTACTCTCTTCACTGTGCCATCTTTGCTGTTTGTTGTTCAGTGATTTTCAGTCACGTCCAATTCTTTGTAACCCCATTTGGAGTTTTCTAGATTGCCCCTATTTGCCTGTTAGAATTTACCTAATTGTTTTCAGAAGCATGATACAAGGTTATGTCAAAGACAGAGAAATATTACAGAAAAGAAAACCAACAGCTGTTCTTCAATCTTAAGGGGAAACTGAGTTAAAATTGTAGAAGAACCAGGAAAAAAAAATCTTCAGGGAACTCAGTCTATGCTAGACTGGATGAAATGGTAATTTCCCTTCTTGTAAGACACAGGGCTAACATAAAAAAACAAAACCAAACCCTTGTGCACTTGAAAGAAAATGTCTTTCATTGTACTGTAGTCATTCAATAAAGCTGTTGAATCAATAACTGTGACATAATATATTTATTCATGTAATAAATGATATTTTCTAAAAATAATATTATCTATCACAGCAGGAAGCTGACTCATGTAGGAACTTTTCTTGTTAAAAAGTAATATTCTTTCCACAAACCAAAACAGTTCGTGGAATCTGTTAAACCCACTTAAACCTTATAAAAATATATAAAAAATGAGAGATGCTTTTAAAAGAATCCTTTTCCAGGGCACTGCCATTTTCTTCCCAAATGTGCTGTCTACAGCTAGTGAAACTTCACCTCCCTGAGTTTTCAGAAGGGATGTGAGCAGCCAGGTGCCTCAGGGTGACCTTTAAAGGGTTAAGATTCCTACTCAGGTTGTCCTCACAGTCCATTTCATGTTCGTTTCACCATGAACAGGAAAAGGATCAATGTGAACACTTTTCATTAATGTCCCCAGTTTCCCAGCTCATGTTTTAGTCATAATAGTTGGTGGTTTATAACCCCTCTCATTTTCTTATGGGCTCAGGGCTGCTCCCACATATTTCCAAATGCTGGTAGAGAAGGAGAAGAGAGGATCAGCCTCTCCTGGGGGGTGGCTCAACAGTAACAGGATGTTTTGGAAAGATTCCTTCAGGGTCCTCCTTCCTGCCTGCCCTCCACCCTTCAAGGCTTTGCCTCCAGCACAGACTCCTGTCCAAAGGCCATCAATAACACTCAAACATCGGCCAGAAATAACTGCTCTAGCTCAGGCTGGACTGTCCTGCATCCTGCCCCTTTTCAGAGCTTCACACATCATTCCAGGAGGCAAAGGGGCGGCAAAATTTGAATACTCTAGTTTTTGTTGGCTTTTCTAGGTATCCTAATAATAATGAGACTACCACTAATAATAGTTCATTTAAATAATGCTTTACAAATATTATCTCAAGTTATCCTCACAACTCTATGAGGTATCCCTATTTTAGGGATGAGGAAACTGAGGCAGATAGAGATTAAGTGACTTGCTCAGGACTACAAAAGTATTGTCTGAGGTTGGATTTGAACTCAGGCCTTTCAGACTCCAGGTCCAGTACTCTATTCAGTGTCCCACCTGTATGCTTCTTTGGGGTTTGCAAAGGACTTTTCTTGTGTTATTTCATTTGTTCCTCACACCAACATTGTGATTATTATTATTATGCATTATTATTCCCATTTTGCAGATGAGGAAACAGAGGCTCAGAGAGTCTAAATGATTTGCCCATGTTTACACAGCTAGGGAATGTCTACGGCAGGATTCAAACTCAGATCTTTCTGACATGTTCAACACGCTAGCCCTGTGCCACGTCCTGACCACTTTTGGGGTTTGCTAGCAGTAATTATGACAACAGCAATGATAATGATGATGATGCATCGTAACACCTTCATTCAGTCACAAAAAGAAGTCATTGTAGCTACCCGTGCAAGCTATTGCTTGCCGACCATCAAACATAAGGTTTGGCAGCTAGGTGATACGGTGGATGATGCGAGATACAGAATCAGGAAGAACTGAGTTCAAACCTGACTTCAGAATTCTTAGCTCTATGACCATGTCTGCTTCAATTCTCTCACCTGTAGAACGAGGGCTATAATAGCACCCACCTCCCAGGATTATTGTAAAGATTGAACTATATAATATTTATAAAGTGTTTTGCAAATCTTAAAGTAAATGCTAGCTTTCATTATCATTGGGGCAGCAAGGTGGCACAGTGAAGATAGCATGCCGGAACTGGAGTTGAGAAGACCAGCGTTCAAATCTGGCCTCAGACACTTGCTAGCTGTGTGACCCTGGGCAAGTCACTTCACCCCATCTGCCTCAGTTTTTCCTCATCTATAAAATGAGCTGGAGAAGGAAAAGCCATCCACTCTAGTAACTTTGCCAAGAAAATCCCAAACGGGGACAAGAAGAGTCAGACACAATTGAAAACGATCGAACAACAATAACAAAAGATTATTATTCTTATTGTGGTGGTAGTTATAGAACAATAGTGGCATAGCCCCTTGTACTCTATCTGACCCTTTATATCAGGGATTCTTAGCCTTGGCCCATGGATGGATTTCATTGGACCAATGAACATGGATGAGGAAAAAATTCATCTTTATTTTCACTAACATTTAAGTGAAATTTAGCATTTTTTCTGTCAATTACTTAAGACCTTTTTTCTGAGAAAGGACCCACAAGCCTCACCAGCCTGCCTAACGAGCACGTGACATTTGGTCAGTTAGTCAATAAGCATTCATGAATTGCCTACTGTGTGCCAGTCGTTGTGTTAAGCAGGAGATTTATCTGAACTTCACTAAACATAAAGATGAAAAGAACTAAATAATAACAACTCACATTTATAAAATGCATTAAAGTTTGCAAAGCACTTGCAGACACATCTGCTCCCTCACCACAACACTCTGAGGTAAGTGGTTTTATCACCCCATTTTCCTGTTGAGGAAACTGAGTCTCAGAAGGGTAACATAACTTGCTCAGGGCTATGTAGGCTGGTAAATATTAAAGGCAGGATTCAAACCCAGGTCTTCATGACTCCAACTCCAGCATTAGAAGCAATGATACGTTTTCCTACACTGATTCATTTTCAACCAATTATATGACTTCCAAAGACAGGGAAGGAAAATATTTTATAAGCCGCAAAGAATACTCTCCTGCAACCTAGACATGGGGGACATCACTCTGCCGCCATTAACAATTGGTGTGACTTTGGGGAAGTCAGCTCTTCTCTCTGGGCCTCTTTCCCAAACTTTAATAAGAGGCCAGCGTAGTCAGAGTTGAAAAACGCAAAGCCTGTGGCACGCTGCCCACAAAACTCCCGAGTGACACTAAACAAAAACACAATACAACCTCGATAATGTGAATCTGTAGTTTTCTAAGCTAATATGTGCGGGCAGGGATCCACTTCTTTTTGATTGTGACCCCACTGGGCCAGTTCATCTCTCCTAACGCTAAATCTCTGTTATTCAGTGGTAATGGTTACAAAAACATAGTATAAGGGAAAAAAAAATTTCTCACGTATCATCCCACTTCTATGGGAGGTCATTAACTGATGACAGTTTTCAACACAGGAAATGCAACCATTTAACTCAGCCTTAACAAAAAGAGAAAAAAATACTTTCTTTGCCTGAAAAGTGGTCTGAGTACTTCAGTACAGCAACCCTAGAATGCTGCGGAGATAGCCTAATTCTGCTGGAGCAAAGAACCAATCAATAGTCACTGTGTCCAGCAGAGACTTTCACTGGGACGGTCCCCAACTTTTGCGGGCCTACAGTTCTGCAGAGACCCTGCAGGTTGGGGGACTGGCCTTCCAACAAGCCGATATGCAAAGGAGCCAGCAGCCACAAAAATGTCTGTATGCAAACTCACCAAGGCACCAGTGCTGCAAGGCCGGGGATCTGGCAGGTTTTATTTTCAAGGTTTATAATCACGGGGTGCAGCAGAAGCTGGGCATCCACTGTCACAACTGGTCTTGCTCTGTGGGAGAATATGGGGAGAGAGAGAGAGAAACAGATGCTTAACACACTGAAGGAAAGCCAGATTGATGATCACATCCCTGAAAACCAATGCTTTGCTTCCAAAAGTGACTCCCTGTCCAAGTGTGCACACAGATTAGTAAATATAAAATATTGTTGTCTTGTTCAGTTGTGTTTGGCTTTTCATGACCCCTTTGGAGGTTTTCTTGGCAAAGAGACTGAAGTGTTTTGCCCTTTCCTTTTCCAGTTTATTTTACAGATGAGGAAACTGAGGCAAATAGGGTGAAGTGACTTGCCCAGGATCACCCAGCTAGTAAGTGTCCGAAGCTGGATTTTAACTCAGGAAGATGAGTCTTCTTAACTCCAGGCCCAGAGCTCTATCCACTATCTATCAACACCTACCTGCAAAATACAAAATGCATCCAAAATTGTGGGCATGTAGTAGGGGGTGGGTAGGTTCTAAGATAATGCGAAGTGCTGTGTGTTGAGGGGAGATTACAAACTTGCAGTGTCAGGAAAGGCCTCATAGAAAAAGTGCCTTCGAGCTGAATCTTGAAGAAAGCTAGCCATTTTGAGAGAAGAAAGGGAGGAGGGCGAAAACTTGTAGGCATGGGGGAACACAGAAAGGGTGGAAATGAAAACGGAAGGTAAGTCAATTTGGCTGGAATGTGGAGCGTATGAAGGGGAGTAATTTATGGTAGTAGATTGAAGCCAGATTCTGAAGGGCTTTAAATGTCAAAAAGATGAGTTTGTACTGTATTCCAGGAACCACTGACATTTGTTAAGTGGAAAAGTGAGATGATGAGACCAATGCTTTAGCATTATGACTTGGCAGCTCTGAAGAATATGGATTCAAGATGGGAGAGGCTAGAGGTGGGGAGACCAAGGAAGCTTCCTGTGATTGTCCAGGCTAGAAGGGATCAGGGTCTGAACTTGGGCAGTAGAGCAGAGTGGACACAGGTGAGAGATGGTTTGGGCAAAGGATTAACAAGACTTGGGTCGTGGGACATAGTGAGGGAGAGTGAAATATTGGTGGTGATTGAGGTGGCCAATACCAATGACCTGAAAGCAGCTGGTACCTCCACAGAAATAAGGAACTACTCAGGACTTACTGATTATATAATTGGTTTAGGCTCTGTGAGCCTGACTTGTCACTTCTGGACATACCCCGAAGATCATTACTCTATCCCTGTGGCCTACTATTGATGAGAGGAAAGGACCCAAGACGTATTTCTAGAAATGTCTTTCCCCCTCTTTGCTATTCTGTAAATGCACATGGAAATATGGCAGAGGCAGGAGGAGAGAACTGAATGAGTGAAATCTAACGTGGATCACTTAATGGTCTTCTAAGGTTCATGTTTTGTTTGGCCATAGATGATAATGAATTGGGGGTGGGGTCATATAGTAGGATATTACTCATTCCTACCAACATTACTTCTGGTGCTGATACAATTCCCACCACCACTCAACACCACTACTACCATTACTACTGTTATGACTATTTCAGGGGCCACCTCCTGTGTGAAGCCTTCCATGATTCATCCCTCCCTCCTAGTTATCAGTGCTCTTTCTCCTTTCAGATAATAATAGAATAGCTAGCATTTATATAATTCTTTAAGGTTTATAAAGCACTTAATGAATACTATTTCATTTGGCCCTCGCAACCACCCCGGGAAGTAGGTGCTATTGTTATCTCCGTTTTGCAGATGAGGAAACCGAGGTAAACAGGTTAAGTGACTTGCCCAGGGTCACACAGCTAGTGACTTGCCCAGGTTTGCATACATCAATTCTTCCTAATTCCAAGTTAGTTCTCCTACTTCACTCCTTAGTTGCTGTAAGTCCTTTCACATTTTATCTCTATATATTTTATAACTTCCTTCCTAAGTAGAAAATAAGCTCCTTGAGGACAGGGATGGTTCCATTTTTCTGTTTCACAAAGTAGGTGCATTGTAACAATTTGCTACATTCACAACTCATTGAGAATACTAAGTCATGAATGCAGAGATCTAAAGCAAACAAACAAGCAAGCTAAAACCATACAACCCTAGTCTTAAAAAAATAAAGGAGTTTCCAAAATAAACATTCTAAATATTTGGAAATCTCTAAACTAGCACTTCCCCAAATGCTTTTTTAGTCTAATGTAACACAGAAAATTAAACAAATTTGAAATCACATGAATATTTGCATACCATGACCACATACCTATAAACAACCACTTTTCCAGCTCCAAAGGCACCCACAATCAAATCTGGAAAAAAAACATATAACAATTTGTATAGTAGCCATGCTTCAAAATCTTACTTATCACTTGTGTATGTAACATGCTGAAATGATCTCTCTCTCTCTCTCTCTCTCTCCCTCTCTCTCTCTCTCTCTCCCTCTCTCTCTCTCTCTCCTCCCTCTCTCTCTCTCTCTCTCTCTCTCTCTCTCTCTCTCTCTCTCTTCCTCTCTCTCTCTCTCTCTCTCTCCCTCCCTCCTCCCTCCCTCCTCTCTCTCTCTCTTCTCTCTCTCTCTCTCTCTCTCTCTCTTCTCTCTCTCTCTCTCTCTCTCTCCTCTCTCCCCCCTCTCTCTCTATCCCCTCTCTCTCCCTCTCTCACTCTCCCTCTCTCCCTCTCTCTCTCTCCCTCCCCACCGCCTTTGGTAGAACTGCTACTTCATCAGTGTAGGGAACTCTAAGAATTGACACTTCCTTCCTATATGCACATTGGTGACTCTACTGCAACTTATGGTCTAAGAGAGCTGCCTGGGGCAATTGAATATGATGAACAATATCACTAATTTGCTAATAAATTAGTAAAATAAGAGCAGAATGTTTCTAAAACATTCTGGATCATAATGCAATTGACTCCACAGTCACCCAATTCAGTAGAACAGTGTTCCATTTGGAGGCCCATTCAAGAAGATCCTACTATTGATTGAACATAGGTAGTGGAAGGATCTCACTGTAATATTGTTTTGCTTTTCATCCAATAGTTTAATATACCCCTCAAAGACAGCATTATTGGGAGGTTTTCTGCAAGGAGAAAAACTGTTAACAATTCAAATGAGGAAAACAATCATTAGTTTAACTCATTCTATCAATTCTGTTAAAGAAGCCTTGAGAAAAAGTGAGGAGAAAATGAAGGGAATCAGCATTTATAAGGTGCCCATTATGTGCTGGGCACTAAGCTAAACACTTTATGAATACTGTCTCATTTCACCCTCACAACAACCTGGCAAGAATAGGAGGCCGCTTTTTAACTTCATGGCTTCCTGCCTCCAGGCTCAAATCAAATTGTCCCTATACCCCAAACTCAGCACTCTAGCCATGGTACCCAATCATAATAATTAAGGTCACAAGTTTCTAGATTAATCTATTTTGCCTTCCCAAAACATGTCTAATTTAAAAATTGCATATTAATCTCACCTTGTTCTTGTATAGTTTTAATTCAAAATACTTTCACAATTATTTAATTTCTTTACTTTTCTTTTCCTAGCTCTTCCAGGAGAACAATAATTTCCTTTCACACCAAAGGAAGATACTAAACTAACTTGAAGAAAGTGCTCAATCTCAGAAACTACAGACCCCGATCTTTCTACGGAATGATAATCTAGATAGCTCTACCTTACATAATCAGTCAAGCATTTATGAAGTTCTTACTTTGTGCCAGGCCCTGTGCTAGATACTGAGACTACAAAGACAACTGATGGAATAATCCTCACTGGCAAGTGCTTATAGTCTAAGGGGACAGAGGAGGACATACAAAGAGAATAAACACACATACATAGGGAATAATTAAAGGAGGTGATTTTCAGATGGAGGACAAGAGCACTTGGGATGGAGGGGACCAGGAAAGGCTTCATGTGGAAGTTGGTATTTCAGACACATCTTGAAGATAGAGGGGGTTCTTTGAGGCAAAGGTGAGGAGGGAATATATTTGAGGCAAGGAAGTCGGCCCGTGCAAAGAAACTGAGAAGTGATGGAGTCTCACGAGTAGAAAGCAGAGAAAAAGGCTAGTTGGGCTGGAAGCAGAGTGAAGGAGTGGGAATACCTAATGAGGCTAGAGAGATATGGTGGGAAAGATTGGAGTCAAAGAAGAGTAGGAGGCCTAGGTCAGAGCCTTGAGGAACACCCACCATTGGTGGGGGAGGCAGGAAGGGACGTGATATGGATAATGAACCATCAAAGGAGACTGGGAAGGGGAGGTCAGACAGGCAGGAGGAGAACCTCTAAGATAGTGTCATGGAAGACCAGAGAAGAGAGATTATTCAGAAGAGGGTGGTCACCATCATTAGAGAAAGAGTTCTAGAAGGATGAGAAGTGGAAAAAAAAACAAAACAAACCACCTCCAAAAAAACCCCACCAGATTTGGCAACTGAGAGATAGCTTATAACTTTGAAAAGAGCAGTTTCAGTTCAGTGATGGGGTTGGAAGACAAATGGCTAAGGGTTGGGGGCTGAGAAAAGAGTGGTGGAGACAGCTGGAGTAGGCAGCTTTTTTTCTAGAAGTTTGTCTGAGAAAGAAAAGCCATATATATGACAGCATCCTGGGGCTGGTGAGGTCTAGGGAAGGTTTTATAAAGATGGGGGACATTTAGGCATGTTTGAAGGCAGTAGAGAAATGAATAGGGAGAGACTGGAGATTAATGTGGGGTGGTGATTGAGGCTACAATCTGCTGGAGAAAAATCTGCTAGAAAAATTCATTTTGTTCTTTCCACTTTCCTTCTCTCTCTTTTTCCTTTTTTATTATGCCTATTTTCTTTCTTCTCCTGCTCTACTAATTCTTTCGCTTTTGGTCTTTTTTCCTTCTTCTCTTACTCTTTCCTATCTTTTCTTGCTCTCTTTTTCCCTTCATCTCTCCCCCTCCCCCAATAAGGTGAGCTATTTAGAAACATATATCGAGTGTTTAAAGATTTGAAAATCAACTGTGAGCATAGAATCTCTAGGGGAAAAAAATAAACAAGAGAACAAGTGAAATCTGATTCTGCTGATGAAAGCAACAAAGAAAAGACCCATTTGTTGAGAATGTGTGGTGTGAAACCTGGGTAAATTCTAGTGAATTTGCATATTCGAAACAGAAATTTTTCAGGAAGAAAATCTATGTGTTACTTTGAGGTGTGCTTTGAAAGAAGATACCACATCTAAGGGGTAAGACACAAACAGCAGGACTTTGATTCCACCAGAACACTCAGAACAAACTAAACTCAATTTAAGAACGTGCCTGTTCTGTGCAAAAAGAGCCCAGGCTTGATCCTTAGGACAGTAAATAAAGAGGGTTTATTTTTTCAGGAATCTTTCATCTCAGCACTCCAGAATGGGAATTTTTCTATGGTGGAAAATCAGAGTCCTGGCCACATTACAACACAATTTTCTATATGGAAATGTGCTATGGTTATCTAGGGTCCAAAAACCCAGTTAGTTATTAACCCTGGAAAAATGCTTGTCTTCTGAGACACCACCTTGGTATTGTGCCTGCTGGAAGGGGTTAGGCATTGTTTGTGCTCAGACCCTCAGACTCGAGAGCAGAGGAGAACTGATTTGTTGACTTGCATTTCTGCCCAATCGATTTTCTTCCCCCAACTGGGAGACTGGCTATGATAGCCATGTTGTGGTTCACATATGTATTTTTCAAATGATCTTAACTTTTTGTTTTTGGCAAGCAGGGCACATATTTCAATGTCTTGGGGCTTAAATGATGATTTGGAGGCTGATCAATTGTGGTGCTAACATTTAGATTCATAACTCCGCATACTTTCTTTATCACCATGAGATAACAGGTCTCAGATTTTTATCAACTGTCTGTTTTCTTTCCTTTCCTTTCCTTTCTTCCTTTTTTTGGAAAGAATTATCCACAGGCAGGTTTTTAAAAACAACAACAACAACAAAAAACCTTTACACTTTCCTGTTTCTTTTCTGGGGGAAAAAAAGCTGAGTCTGGCAAATTACCTTTGTTCTCTTCCCTCAACAGAAAAATAAAAGAAAATGAAATGGAGCTCTAAACTGCTAGGTTTTTGGTGACCTATCTCATTGCTTAAAATGTTTATTTTCCTTTTGACTTTTCTTGGATCCAGTGAAGATTTTTGCTGAAACCAAAAGGGGATGCAGATTTGGTCAGCAAGAAAAAATAACTTTGAAAATGTGAGATCACAGGAGAAATGTATTACCCGCATGTTTTGTGTCAATCTCCTCCAAATTTGCATTTTTCTGTTTTCATGAAGAAAGAAGCCAAGCTTTGGAACTGTTGCTTGAAATGGAGAACTTAAAGTCTGAGGTTTCACTAATCCACCAAGGGAATTGTTAAAGCTGGAGGTTCTCCAACTAGAAAAGACCAGCTCTGTTTCAAGCGGACAGGTAAGGAGAACATGGAGATTAGGAGGCCTGAGAGAGTGGGTAGCAGGAGTTGGAGGCCACAGGAAGAGATACTAAACAATCAACTAAAATTGCTGCATGGAGGGGAATGAGGTTCTTGGAACGCTGGTGGCCATCCATAAGCCTTTATCTTTTCCTATGAGAGGTCTAGTCCTCCTACACATGGGGGAATATGGTAATATATGGGGACCACATTACAGATCAGGACAGGGATGGAGATGACCTCTCATTTCACTGATGTGAGGAAGCTCCCTTGGCCAACGCACGTCAGCATAGTTAGAGCAATGAGAGTTAAGTGACTTGCCTTAGATCACACAGCTAGTATTCATCAGAAGCAGGTCTTAACCCCAAATCTTTCTGATTTCAAGGTTGGCTTTAGTTATTACACCAAATTACCTCTCCACTAGTGCTACTTATCTGGAATCCAAACCCATGGGTCATTTCAGAAGTTCAAAATCCTTAGTCTTGCATTCATGACTCTTCAAAAATCTGGTACCAGCCTATCTTTTTGGACTTATCTCAAGTATCTTCTTTTAAAAAAATATTTTCCCCAATTACACATTGAAACAATTTTAACATTGTTTTTAAAGTTTTGAGTTCCAGATTCTATTCCTCCCTCCCTCCTCCACCCCCATCCCTGAGATGGTAAAGGGTCTCGAAGAGCTGGACACAACTGAAATGACTGAACAACAAGAAAATAATAAACTTCTTTCCCTCTATACCTACAATGCTTTGGCCAACATCAGTTATTTACTGTTCCTCTGTATATACTCTGCACCATTCCACCTCTATGCCCCTTCTGTGCTCCTGGCCCTTGAACTTCCCAATTCAGATGACTGAGTAAAGAAATAAATGAATACAAACATATTAAGTTACTATGTTTTAAGCACTTTTAAGCTCTGGTGATGCAGCTTGTGAGGTAAGATAGTATCTACTGAAAAAGGAGCTCACAGTGTAATAGGGAAAGAGGATACATATTGAAGTATTCACCTGCAGGACTGAAGGAAAAGTTCAGTGGTCGTCAGGGTGCAGTAGCAAGGCAAATAGCAAAGCAACTTCTTTAGTGTTATTTCCATCGCTAAAATCATATCTAATTTTGACGTTGATGCATTTAAGAGTGCCAAGGACTAGGGTGGTGAGGATTATCTTTTCTGGGTTTTCAGTGAGAGTAGTTGCTAAGGAGGTAGGGGCAGCATCACTTGTAGAGGGAGTTGTCTCCAAAGGAGCTGATCCCCTGGCTGAGTTCTGGGAGAGCTGAAAGAAAGGCAGGGCCAGTGCCCTGTGATGGGCTGCTATTCCCAAAGTTCTTGGAGGTAGAATCCTGGGCCAACTTTGCCTCTCTTGGTTTGAGGGAGGATTGTGGCTGAAGTGCTGGCAGTGGTTTGGACTGCCTAGAAAAGCCACCTCCTGTCTTTCCTCAAAGATGTTGCTGCCACCTCCTCTGTGAAGCCTTCTCTGATCCTTCTTTCCTAACCCTGTTGTTGTTCAGTTGTTTTTCACTCATGTCCAACTCTTTGTGACCCAATTTTGGGGTGTTGTTGGCAAAGGTACTGGGATGGCTTGCCATTTCCTTCTCCAGCTCATTTTACAGATGAGGAAACTGAGGCAAACAGGGTTAGTGACTTGCCCTAGTAGGTGTCTGAGGCCACATTTGAACTCAGGAACCTGCCTGTTTTGAGTTCTAGATTTCAATTACTTTGCTTCTAGCTGCCGTGTAACTTTAGAGGAGTCACTGTTCTTTGGTAAATGGAGCTAAGAACCTCGAATCGTAACCAAGGTTGTCAAGTATGGAGAGTGAACACGACATTCTCCCTTGATTCCTACTACCCCTCCTTAGAGGGATAATTACATGCAAGAAAAAAAAATGAAGGAAAACCACGTCAGTAAATACAACAATGTTCGTTTGTGAACAGAGGATTATGAAAGCTCTGTGGATGTTTGGCACTGTATAAACATAACTCATTTGGGTGGAAAGCAAGCATTTAGATAAGTCTCCTAAAGTCTGGCAAGCATGGTCCTCTAAAAATAGACAGAAGCAGCTTTTCTTCGTTGCCTTTATGTTGTGCCCCATACAACATCACGGAGAGGATGGGTGACTAGTTAAAGAAGAAATGCTTTAAAAAGCATTCATAATTCCTATAGCAGAAAGCATTCGCCCCTAACAATCTGCGTGAATAGCTTCCAAATGAGCTCTGAAGGAAAACATTCATGAGCTATGGGGCTGCAGCATTCTAGTTTACTAAAGGTTTGGGGGGGGGGGTTGTTTGTTTAATAGCTGACAAAAGCCCAGAATGTGAATGTCTAACTATGACCCAACCTTACGAAAATAACTGCCCTCATGTCATTACCAGTGTGTGGCTGAAGAAAACAACATACCCCTGTTCTGCTGATTGTTGTCCACTCACCAGCCCTCAGAGGCTACAGTTGCTGGGCCAGAAAGCTACAGTTCAAGGTCTGTCCCATGGCTTAGAGAGCATTTAGCTCTGCCCTCACAGCATTTCTCCTGTGCACCTCACTGGTGGTAGACCCAATTCAGCTTGCCATATGTTAGACTCAAGCATCATTATATCATTTACAAACACCGTGAATAATAGGTTGTTTGGTGCCAGGTGTCTGCTAAGCAGGGCTGATTTCATAAAGCTAAAGTCGGCCACTAGACCTACACAAGGTGCTTTTACTCTTCACTCCCCAGCATTTTGCCCACTGAAGACTGATACCTGAAGTCCTTCCACTAGGCTTTATTCCTTTGGCTTAGGAATCTGTCAGTCTATTTCAATGCAGATCCCATTTTTAAACAGTTATCAGTCACTTATACCTTAATGGGCTTATAGATCCTTAGTTGAGAGTGTTTTCATAAGAGGAGGAAGAAGCAGTGCCTGTGGAGTCTGGTAAGAGATGCCATGATGAGGCAGTGCAGAAAAGGTAGGTAGAACATGGGTAGCTCGGGTTTCTGAAGACAGATGTTAGCTACTTCACTACTGAACCTTGTTCAGGGTTCAGGCAGCTTGCCCCACCCCAAAGTTCAATTTAGGATACATCTTATACCTTAAATAAAAGTTGAAGGAATAATTTCTAGATGATAGAATTCTTAAAATATTGTCAACATATGGACCAAAAGGCTCTGGTCTAGTTCATAGATTTTAGAGGCAGGGGATCTCTGTTTTAATCCTGTCTTTTATAAGCTGTGTAATGTTGACCAAGTCAATTTATCTCCCTGAGTCTCTAACCTTTAAAAGTGGAGGGGGGAATCCTATTTTTCCCACAATGTACATTACAGGAATGTTGTGATGAGCAAGTGAGATGAAGCAGATAAATTCTTTGTAACTCCGCAGCATTACATCAAGGTTAGCTAACACCATCACCACCACCTTAATCCCCATCTCTCTTCAAACCCTGAGAGAAATAGCCCAGGACTCAGACACTATGAACCTTGGGAATATCAGCTCAGTGCCCTCAACTGTCATCCTGGGAAGCCAGATCTGTGGAGATGTAGCTTAGTGGGTTTTTTTTTCTGTAGATGCTATGGGCTCAGACATTAAAGACCTAGAAAAGAAAATTCTTGCCACCAAAATCCTTGACATTTGTCAAAAACATAGGAAATTGACATGACCGTCTTAGTGAAAAGGACATCAAAGAAAAGGCATTGCCATCTGCTTTGCTGCTGCACCCTTTTGTCATGACTTGCAGCTGAAACCTTCCCATCAGAATGTTTTACTTTCCTATGTGTATCTTCAGTGCTTAACACAATGCTTTTCTCATCATAAGCACTTAATACATATCCATGTATTTATTTGTTCATTTATCCCTAACCTTTTCTGATCCCCCTTTGCCCTCCCTCTTTTGATTATCTCTACCTAATCTTGTATATGGCTAGTTTATACATAGTTGTTGGCACATTGTGTCTCCCATTGGATGGGGACTATCTTTGCCTTCCTTTGTGTCTCTAGCACTTAACATCTGCCTGGCACATAGCAGATGCTTAATAAATGTTTATTGACTAACATCACTGTTGCAGTTACTACTTATACTAAAGCACTTCCATGGATTTGCAGTCCCACTGATTTGAGTATTCCCTCTACTAGGCTGATTATAGCCCATATATGTGTGACACCCTTACTGACATGTGAATGCAGCCATCTTCTGTCATTCTCTCTTCCTTTACCCCGGACTCAAATGAAGAAGTGGCTCTTCTCCTTTCCAAGGCCAACCCATATCACCACACTGCTTTGATCTCATCTCCTCTCTTCTTCTCCAGTAAATTGCCCCAACTCTTCCCCCCCCACCTCAACACACTCTTTCTCTCTTATCTCTTCCTATCTAATAGCTCCTTCCCTACTGTCTATAAAGACACCCTTGTCTCCTCCATCCTAAAAAAACAAAAAAACAAAAAAACCAACAAACTTCACTTGGTCCTGTTCTTTGCTCTTATATTCCTCCCCTCATTCTGTCCCTTACTCAGTCTTGACCTAATAAATAATTTCAAATGAATCTGCTGTGTTCTGTTCTGGAATTCCTTGCCCTCTTGCCCCATCCTATCTCATGCCTTTCCAAACTCCCTTCTGTATTACCCTCACTATCCACCTTCCTTACTCTAAATGCTATTCAGTGCTGATGGAGGAAGTCACCAAAATGTCATTGGGAAAATATACATTTGGAACATTAGCTAGATATTGTTAGCATAACTCAAGAGGCTGATGTTGACACTATATATTTAATCATGGAAATGCTGAATTCCTGAATAGACATTGGACATTAGTCAATGAATATAATTGATTTCAATACTAGTGAACATTTGGATTTTGGCTTTAACATGTTTAATATCAATCTTCCTCAAGTTCACTCATAACTTCATAAGCCAAGGAGTTCAATGCTTTGATCAACTCATTTGATGTATCATTCTAGCATCACTAATGAGGAAGAGCAGTGAGATGTTAGGTCAACTAAAGTCCTAATTTAAAATCAGAATTTTGGGTTGTGTCTAACCTTTTAATTGTGCAGATGAGTAAATGCGGCCCAGAAAGTTGAAGTGATGTGCATAAAGTTACACAACTAATTACTAGCAAATTTCTGATTTGAGGTCTAGTTTCTTGGCTCCCAGTACCCTTTCTACTACTTGACACTGCCATCTTCTAGTCTTTCCATTAAAATTTTAATTTCCTCTAACTTCACAAAGCATCTTAGTAGAAAAGTAATCCACTCATTTCTAATTTGTTTATACTGAAATTATCAAAATACGGCTACATGAAAGCAGCTTGGTGTTCTGCTTTTCTTAAAAATATGAGTAGGAGTTTGCCAGGAAAAAAAATAAACTTAGACTATATGGCTTGAGAAGTTGGTTCCAAATGTCAAACTACTGATTTTAAGTGAGCTCAAAGCTTGACAAAATACATTATGCTCTGGCTTCAATTTTTACCCTATTTGGGTGAATCTATCCATCCATTTCCTCTTATGTGTTGTCTCTTGCTCATGCACGTGTACACACATTCATTGTACAATGTTCTACTCATCAAAACAGATGCACCATTTCACAGTCCTCCCCCCAGCCCCCAGTATAACTGTCTAAATTGCCTTCATGACATAATCATCATATATTATGAGTTTGAACAAGACAATGATAACCTTGGCATGGTGCCATTTTTTCCGTACAGTTTCTATAGCCTGAAATTTCTGCTTCTACAACAAATATGCACTTCTCTCTGCTGTTTGGGTTAATGCCTGCAGCAGATGGGGTTGTTAGAGAGTAATGTTTTAATAGGATTAGACTAGATTATTAAATGTTAGGGACTCTTGCCTGACTACCCCAGCTGTTTCTTTTCTGAAATGTTTCCATTTGATCAATGTATTCAAGGTATTACTAGTGAATCTGTCCTTTAAGCTTTTCAAAGCACATAAATAGCCACATTTGGAAACTCATTCCCATGTAACCTCATCTTTTCAGTAAGTAACCAATTTTTCCATTTGCAAGTTAAATGTCTAGGGAATATATATATCATATATGTATTTTTTATTTTTACTTTTGACCACTCCTGTGATTCCATTGGTATAGGGATCTCCAAGTGAAGAATTGTCTTGACTAATGCAGAGTTGGCTAGTGGCAAGTTATTTACCCAGGCTCTCCCAGTCATTATGGTAGTACTTGAACCCAGGGCATTCCAGACTTTAAGAACAGCTTTCTATTAATTATACCACACTTTCACCATATCTAAATACACACACACACGCGCGCGCGCACACACACACACACACGTTTATATACACACATAAACAAAAAAGGAGCAGTTTTGCCTATCAAGAGAATAGTGAGAACCACAAGGAAAGAAGTAACTTCATGTGGGATCAAAAACACCAAGGGCCACAGTCCAGAATGATGGGTTGCTTTGGCCACAGGGATTTCCTCACTTTTGTGCCTCCTTGTTAGGTTTCTATAATTGTGTATCCACTCTCCCCTATGGTTCCTGAGTGCATTAGTGGGAGACCGTGATCTAATTTTGTGGGTGGATTATGACCCTTTGATTATCCCTGCTTTTGCTTTCTACTGAGTAAAAAATTGGAATATTTTTGCTTTTGCCTTTTAACGAATAAATGTTATGATCATTCCTGCTTCTGGCTTATTATTAAGTACATGTTCTGTGTGTAAGAATTAATATCATTGTGATTGATTTTATGTAAATGGAAGCACACTAGTGAGGACGAAGGAATTACAGTGCCAAGTTTTAGGAACATATCTCTCTGACATACATAGTTTTCTTATGACTCAGAGACATTTTGGATCCTACACGTGTGGTATTTTACTCTAGGGCAGCTAGGTGGTGTAGTGGATCGAGTGCCAGACCTGGAGTCACAAGACTCATCTTCCTGAGTTCAAATCTGGCTTTAGACAAATACTTGCTATATAAACCTGGGCAAGTCACTCAACACTGTTTACCTCAGTTTCCTTATCTGTAAAATGAGCTGGAGAAAGAAATGGCAAACCACTCCATTATCTTTGCCAAGAAAACCCCAAATGGGATCATGAAAAGTTGGACATGACTGAAAAATGACTGGACCAATCCTACTCTCTAAGAAACCCAGAATTGCCAGTGTTAGTGAAGCTTGGATGAGAAAAACAGCTCAAATAGTGAAATTAGGGGTCTAAATCACACTTAGGCTATACAAGACTTTCTACAGTCTGGTCCCAACCTACTTTTCTTACCTTATCCCTAGCTATTTCCTACGCAAACTCTCCATTCTACCCATACTGTTTTACCTCCATGTTTATATAATATTTTGCCTTGTCACCTTTATTCACACTGGTACTGCCACCTGGAATTCTCTTCTTTATCATATCAGTCAAGACCCAGTTCAAGATTCTAGCTTGTCTAAAAAGTCTTCCTTTATTACCCTAGCTAGAAGTAATTGTGATTGTGATCATGACTGTGATCTCTCTCTCTCTCTCTCTCTCTCTCTCTCTCTCTCTCTCTCTCTCTCTCTCTCTCTCTCTCTCTCTCTCCCCCCCCTTCCCTCCCCTCTACAATACATTTTGTACCATTTACCTGACATTTAATGTTTGATTTGGGGGTGGTAGTACTAATCTAGTAATCTGTTTTATGTATGTTAATGCCTTGGCACTATTCCCCCTAGTAAATTAGGCTAGTCCTGGCAGAAGATATCTGAGGACTGTATAATATTTTATGCAGCCAGCTAAATGGTCCTTATAAAAAAAGGAACAAATGTTTGCAAGGACAGACTGAAAGGGAAAGAGATCTATGTGAAAAAAAACACTTCTAAGACAGCAGATAGAAAGAAGATTCAGAAAAGAAAGTTCTTGCCTTCAAAATCCTTGGCACTCTTTCAATGGTACAGCATCAGAAACTAGTATGACTTTATCAGCGGAATTGACATTAAAGAAGATGCATTGTAATCTGTTTGGCAGCCATCCCCTAAGGATCACGGGTCCTTTCCATCTGTCTTGCTTCTGATACCTTCTTTATGTATTGTATACCCCCAACAGAATGTGAGCTCCTTAAAACCAAGGACTAATGTTTCTTTTCTATTTGTATCTCCAGCATTCATTCATCAGCTTCAGTCATTCACTCACTTATTCCTTCCATCTGGGCTTAGAGTCAGGTAAATCAGGGTTCAAATCCTGTTTATAACACGTTTCATGACTGTGCAAATCACGGTCTCTCAGTGTTGTAGATATTACTCTTAAGACCATATGTACAGAAAAGGTTATGATACAGATTTGTAGGGGGAAATCCCTATACCAATAAGATCAAAGACATGGATTTTTAAAAAAATCACTGCCATTGAAAATAGGATATTCCAATGATTGCTCTATGCTCTGCAATTTGAAATATATATTATTATACATATATTTGTATTTGTTATATATGCATTATATTCATACATGTATATATGTATTATATCACATGTGTGATATATCATACATAATATATGTGTTATATATGTGTATGTGTTATATATATATACATATGATGCATCTATACATTAGTGCATTTATACATACATATATTTACATTAACACTGAAGAAAGGAGCCTTTTTGTAGGCAAAAGGGCTCATTTCTCGTTCTTCCTCTGCTACCTCTTGTTGAGGCCAGTGAGATTTTGTAGGGTTTTTTTTTCCTGTCTGGCTCAGAAAAGAGGTCAGTGAGCACTTCCATCCCTTCTTTCTGTCCCTCTCTGAGGGGCAGGAAGGTTCAGAACCCCTTGGTTTTATTGTTATCATTGTTTCTTCTGACTATGTTCCTCTATCTTCAGGCAATGCTTTCCTTACCTGACTGTGGTATGTTTACTATTAAAAGTGGTATGGGGCAGCTAGGTGGCACAGTGGATAGAGCACTGGCCTTGGAGTCAAGAGGACCTGAGTTCAAATCTGGCTTCAGACACATAACACTTATTAGCTGTGTGACCCTGGGCAAGTCACTTAAACCCAACCGCCTCACCAAAAAAACAAAAACAAAAGTGGTAAAACTGAATTTCCTAATGCAAAAGTGGTTATCTGTTTGAGCTATAATGCCATTTTGATGAATATTGATTTGAATATTTGTAAACTAAAACTTCACAATATGGTTAGTGTATATTTTAATTCCATGTCTTTAATGAATTTATGCTCTTGTTTTCAAAGAAAGTCCTGTGAGAAGTGTGCCTTTGGGGGCACAACCTACCAAGATGTACTCTCACTGAAACCAAAAGATTCTGCACTCGTGATCTTGGAAATGCGTGTAAACGAAGTGTGTGTCCATTAGGTAGCAGTAGGTATGTCACCTAATATGAATAAATATGTATCTACATAAAGAGGGAATCCTTATGACTTATATGCCCTATTTCCTCTTTCATTTGCTGAACTCCCAGCCAGGGGTGGGGAACCTGTGGCCTCAAGGCCACACGTGGCCCTCTAGGTCCTCAAGTGTGGCCCTTTGACTGAATCCAAACTTCACAGAACAAATCAGGGTTCATTTGCATTTGTTTAGATTTTTGGATTCAGTCAAAGGGCCGCACTTGAGGACCTAGAGGGCCACGTGTGGCCTTGAGGCCGTAGGTTTCCCACCCCTGAGTCATTCTTTGTATTTTTTTAATAAAGGTTTTATTGATGCTCTTTTCAATACCATTTACTTACCAATGACTTCCCGCCTCCATGAAAACCCTCATTTGTAACAAATAAATACATTCAAGCAAAACAAACCAACACATTGGCCAATTTTGAAAGTGTATGCCTCATTTCACACTTGCAGTTTATCACCTCTCTGCTGACAGGTGGGACTATTCATCATCCTCTAAAAACTGATTCAGATGCTGCCTTCTCCATAAAGTTTTTCCTAGGTAATAATGAGCCTTCTCATTTAAATCTCTTGAAGTGATTTGTTTTTGCACCTTTCTCAATAAATCATCACATAATGTGCACTATAGTTATCTGTGTTTGGGTCTTATTTTGCCTACTCAGATATAAGTTCCATGAAACCAGTGCACCAGGTTTATATAAATTTTGTATCTTTTCCATCACCTAGCACATGTTTCTTCATATATTAGGTGCTTAATAAATGTTGGCTGAAAAAATATATATACATATATATATGTGTGTGTGTATATACCTATGTGTGTACATACACACACATAGCATTTATATTATATGTAGTTATATAAGATACACATGTACATATACTATATGTACATATACATATGTATGCTAAATGATTGATAGGAAAACATGGAAAGAATTTCACATGATGAAGGAGTTATGTGATCTGCATCAATGGAAGTTGTACCCACACCAATGAAATCAGAATCCCCAAGATACAATATACATGCATTTGTATTTCCAAATATAATTTATATATGCATGTATTACACATGTATACAGATACATACAATAGGTATACACATACATCTATGCATTGGGTGTACACACAGGTGTAATGCTTACAAAGACATAAGAAGTGAAGGGGAATGGATTGGTGTATCATTCTAGGAGGCAGCTAGGTGGGTGGAGCGCTGGTTCTGGCGTCGGAAAGACCTGAGTTCAAATCTGGCCTTAGACACCACTCGCTGTGTGGCCCTGAACAAATCCTGTAACCTCTGTCTGCCTCAGTTTTCTCATCTGTAAAATGGGGATAATCATAGCACCTACCTCCCCGGGTTGATGTGAGGATCAAATGAGATAATATTTGTGAAGTACCTTACAAGCTATAAAGCACTATATAAATATCATGATTATTATTTCCAGTGGAACAAGAACGTGAAAAGATTTTTTCCATATTCAGAATTAAGTTGCTAATGGTTGTCATTAGGAGCAAGGGCATATACCAATAGAGAAAAGAAGAGAGGTGGAAGTGTGGGGTATAACCACACCTCATTCTACACCCCGCCTACCTCTAGCACTGGCCGTATTCTACCTGTGAGGCATTTATGGTGAGGCTCTGATGAGTCTTTAGTACATTGTGAACACTCAAATATCAAACAAACAAATACATATTTAACAGAGCAGTAACAAATTGTGCCTGGAGTCTTAGTTTTTCTACCATCCTTCCTTCCTGTTTCCCACTGTTCGAACTGGGAGGACACCATGAGTTTGGCTCCAGGTCTAGAGTAATAACAAGTTCTCCTTAAAAGGCCACAACACTTCCATGTTTCAGTGCTTGGAAACATCTTAGCCTTTGTATGCACTTGTTTTGGCCTGTTCTTAATGTTACTCTGTGGATGAATTGCCTAGGTCCTTCATAGATGATGTGTGTGGATGGTTTTGTGCCATGTAGGAGTTTAGGAGTGAATAATTATTTCATAATTGGTAATATAGACATCTTCAAACACCTGTGATCTCAACAGTTGGGATAATCTCTTCAGTGATACAGATGACAACCAATCCATGCCTGCCCACCCTCCTGCACAACATTTGAAAATAAATTCCAACACGGCTCCACCCAATGTGCTAGAGGCCTTCAGCATCTCAAGCATATGTCAATAATACAGGAAAATCAGCCTCATGGTCTCCTCTACACATAAAGATCAAGGAAGACTTCCTTCCCCATGAATGGGGGAAGCACCATTAAAGATCAAAGATGGCTCTGCATCAATGTGTTGCTGGATCTCATGATGGGGGAGGAAGCACAACTAATGGTGGGAAGATGGGTGGAGGGTGAGAAACAGGATTATGGAATATTAGATATGAAGAGAACCTTAAAGCCCATCTAGTCCAATTCCTTTCCTCCCAATTTTACACATGAGGACACTGAGGCTCTCCAAGGTAAAATGATTCTAGGACCTTAGGATCTTACGGGTGGAAGCATCATGTCTTCAAGTCTAGTACACTTCTCACCATACTACGTGCAGCAGCAAAACTCTCCTTAACTGAGTTGGAGTGGGATAGCTGAGATACCATGATTGTGAAAGCATCCTGTCTTTATTTCATCAGAAGTTAACTACTTATAAGAGATTTCCAAATCTAGTCATCGTATTTAAGGAAATCATGCCCTACAGCAAACCCAACCAACTCAAATTACCTTAATATGAATTACAAATTGACAAATTTAATTCTTAAAAATGACTCTTTTGTGTTTTCTCTTGGCTTTCCAAGGCCCAGTTGATTCAGGGACTCTAATTTAATGGAGGGTAGGAACAGGGTGGGGCCTGAAACTATACCAGGCTCTGGAGACTTGGGATCTATACCCCTGGGGTTGGTGATCTGAAGAATGGGCAAATAATTGAGTAACTTCTTCATGAGGTCACGCAGTACCTCCTATTGACTGGACATTTCCTTCAGGCAACTATATTAAGAGAAATATCATGACATTGTGGAGAAAACAAAGGCTTGGAGATCTGGGTTCAAGTCATTTCTCTGACAAATACTGACCGGATGTCCCTGGGCAAGGACCTTAATGTGTCAGTGACCCCAGTCAATTCTTTAAGGCTATAAATCACAAATCTGCATTGGTAGGGAGAATTTCCTCACTGAGAGTTCCTTATGCTAAATTATCCGGATTAGACAGACATAAATTATAGCAATAACTTCAGGATTGAAAAAAAATAGCAATAACATTGGTTGAATTATTTTTAAGTGACTAACAAACATACAAATACGGACCAAGGCACCAGCATCATACTTATCAACAGCTAGGTCAGGAGAAAGTAAACTAGTCACCCATTTTTTTTTTCTCACAAACATGTTTGCATATTTCTATTCTCAAATGACCTTCAGTCAAAGACTTTATCAGTTATCGACTTCATCAGTTATCATACAAATTGTGTGGGGAAAGATGCCACATTTCTGTCTTCAGAGGACATCCTGGAATACACCTACTTCATAATCAAAATACAAAGAGAATCATCAATCAGGATAAAGGCTGAGGAAGCACTGATTGCCTGTATTTTCCATGAGGACTATTCAGAATGGGCCCCCGTAGCACAGAGATATTATTAGAGCTCTCCCACATCTTCAGAGAGGTTCCCCCAATCAGAAGAGACCCCAGATCTCAGATATTTGATAAATGTTTACTGAACTGAATTAGAACATCCTTTGGGAAATCTTAAGTAATCAGAGTGACTCTTCAGCCTAATGTGACCTGTTCAACTATGCTGGAATTATTTCCTTTTCCTTTAGACACTGAATTTATTGTTCCAAATATAAAAATAGCCCCAATTATCTTGCATTCTTATATTGTAATTTAAAAAAATGTGTTTTACTTTTAGAAATGGCTGTTTCTCTTGAAATTTGGTTCTCTGTATTAACAAATTTGATTTTGTTTTTGGTATGACCTAGGGTCAACAATTTTGCCCCACCTCCCAGAGAAACACAGAACAAAATTTATAGTAAAAATCATTGGGGAAATCAGATTTAAATGTGCAAAAAAGGCTTTTAAGGCAATATGTCTACAGATATATTCATCAGGCAATATATGTATATACTGTGTACAACATATACATAGAGACACAGATTCTGATGCACACATTCTGTGAACTTGTATCCATTTTCGTGAATGATCCAACAGCTAATATTTATAAGGGATAGCAAATGACCACAATGGCTGCTGTGCTCATCATATACAAGGAAGTGGTTGACAAGGGCCCTCAGTCCAAATCTGATGTGGGTTTGGCCATCATGAAAAGAACTAAGGATACATACCGGCTTCTCAAATAATTTTAGTACCAAAGGATAAGCAATAACTTTCAAAGTCAGACTACCAATGGAAAGGTCTCTTTCTTTTCCTGTTCCATCAAAGGAAATAGACTTCTCTAGACAGTTCTTAGCAGGCATTTTACTAGATAATTTATTAAATTAATGTCTATCCAAGCAACATGTTCCCAGCTATGACTCAAAACAACAACTTAGATTTATAAAGTGCTTCTAGGTTTACAAAGCAGTTTCCTGACAACAATCTTGAGGAAAAGATAGCATCATCACCATCTCCCAGTAAAATAAGGAAACTGAGGTGAAAAGTCATTCATATAAATAAGTGTCTCATTTGGGATTTGAACCCTTGTTCAGTACTCTTTTAAACCAGCATACTGGCTAGTTTGATCTCCCTCCTTAGATTATCTACATTTTTAGCAGAAATAATGGAATTGGCCAAATGTTTAATGCAGGCACAAAACACTGCCTCATTCTTTTCCTTTCTTTCTGCAAAAGTTTCTTGGAACTCTAGACCATCCACAAAATATAAACAGAAGGCCATGGGATTGTTACTCTAGAGCTTGAAGGGACTCTCCGAGTCCCTTCTAGACAAAGCCTGTTACTCTATGGCAGGTGCAGGGAACTGTGGCCTTGAGGCCACACGTGGCCCTCTAGGTCCTCAAGTGTGGACCCTCATAAATCCCCTTAAGGGGATTTGTTCTGTGAAGTTTGGATTCAGCTAATGGGGCATACTCAAGGACTTAGAAGACCACATGTAGCCTCAAAGCCACACGTTACCCACCCCTGCTACAAGTGAAGATAACAGACAACTTTCAGGCTGGGTGTTCTCCCAACTTTCGATCAACATATCTCAATCTTTGGAACTCACAGGTGGCCATGCCAATTTTTCTTACTATGTTAAGTCTCATTAACCTTGATACACAGAATGTTTCTCCTTTATAGACTCCCTCGTCTTGTCTTCCAGGCCTGAAGTCAGTATTTGCCACAACTAAAGATGTGATGCTAAAGACTTTTCTTCGAAAGATCACAAGATGACAGGGCCCTCAGTGGCCAACTAACCTAGCTCCTAACTGAACAAGGATTCTTTCTACAGTATTTTCCATAAGTGATCATCCAAATGTGGCAGATAATTGTAAAGGAACACCAAGCAACTCTCAAGGAGTTCAAGTCACGAGGATGGCATGGACCATTCCAGTGGGGGTAGCTAGGAGGAACCATAGATAGAGCACAGGGCTGCCTTGGAATCAGAGAGACCTGA